TAGAAGGCCTTAAACCATGGTGACAGCCATGAGTCAATAACTGTCTCGAGGAAACACATGATGTAAGGCTTTCAGTTGGATGTCACTAGCGCCACACTGTAGGAGCTATGGTTTGAAGCGCCATCACATATATGATGCTAAGTCACATCCTCATCTTTTCGGGGTGCTTGAGAACACTACTTTTCAACAAGATAATGGCTATTACTAGAGCTACAGTAGACTACGTCAATAACGGTCAAATCTTGGCCTCCTAGATCTCCAGACCATTCACCAATTGAACATGCATGGGAATATGAACGACCACTTTACCTTACCTTTGTAGTACAGCTGGATTAAGATGAGATGCCTCAACAAGACAACTCACGCATCAGAAGCATCCCAGCGACTGTATGAATATACACTCGCAGGAATTATTATCCTTACGACCTTTTCTCGGCTAGTATCCATTGAAAACATTATCTGCATCATCACTTGTATCCTTGATTTCCATATTTGCCTGTACTAAAACGTTCCATCGACTTGGCATCCAGAAAAGTGGGAGACCGCCGAGTCGGGGTTATGTTTTGTGTTTTCGATCAAAAGATGTGGAATTAGGAAGTGGGAGGAAGCTCTGCAGCTAAATGAATTTCTCGTGTGTGGTTTGTGTGTGTGTGTTGTTGCAGGAAGCTAATTATTTCATTAACGGTTGTGACGTGTGTCTTTTCTCTTCTTCTGTTCGACAGACGGGTGGGCTGGTGGCTATTTTTTGTACTCCTTAATCGAATAAGCTAGAGGGGGAGGCGAATGCAATTTAAAAAAGCGACTTCTATAGCATTACACTGACACACTGATATACGGGTGTCCGAAAGTTGGGGTTTTCCTTTACAAGACGTGTAGATCTTGAAAACATAAGCAATTTTTCTAAGTACCATATACACCAATGTCTTAAGGGAACCGAGATAAAGGGCTTGCAACATCAAAAATATCTGAATACCGTCCTGTAGCCGCGACCCGCCGCGATATCCCAGACTGGTACCGGCTACTAGCTGAACCGACGACAGAACTGGGTCGGGGGTCGGGGTCAGTGTGTCAGGTCAGTATGCAACCTTCAACCGACGGTAAAGGTCACGCGTATAGAGTAACGAACCCGTATAATCGATTGCGTTTCAAAAAAAAATAATAATGGCACACTCATACACCAATAATGAACTCGTTGATATGTTGTTAATTTATGGCGAATGTCTTCAAAATGCTACAGAATCGTCGCGAATGTATGCAGATCGTTTCCCTAGACGACATCATCAAGCCCCGCAGATTGTGTACTGGTTCAGTAGAGTCATTTGGAAGGAATTTCGAGGTGGGCACAGTGTGGACGCCTAGACAACCACGAATGGTGCAAGTTGAGGAAGAACTACTGAATCGCCGTAGACGAGAATCTCTCAACAAGCACTAGAGACGTGGCTAGAGAAGCGCAAAGTATCAAAAACTAAGTTGTGGCAAACGTCCAAACGTGTACAAGCCCTCCAACCTGATGATTTTCCAGCAAGAGTGCGGTTTTGTGATGGTTGTTGCATCAACATGACAATAATACGGACTTTTTGAATTGCATATTGGTGACAGACGAATCTACGTCACGCGTAATGGGGTTGAATAACTTTCGATTTCAGGCAGAGACGTACTTAGCCCTTCTCGTCACTGGAGAGTGAGTACTTTTTCCTTATTTTTTTTTTACTTGGTCGCCCCTAGTTTCACTACACATTACCTTTGTTATTTCAAGGGTAGTTGTT